ATTTACATGCATGGCATAAATATTACTAAGTAACATCATTTGCTTAAGAGAAATCGTGTGTATGGCATTTAGTTGAGTAACCTGAGTTAATGACATCAGCTTTGATCTCTGGCTCCTTGTCTGTAATTTTCATGCCTGAGGTCCCTTGAAGGAAGTGGTAAAGGCTCATGTCCCCTGATTGTAGTCAACTAAGTGAGGATACCAATTTTGCTCATTGTTGGTTGTGGTTACGGCACTGATGAGGCATTGGGATGCCTAGATGTGAGGTGTAAAATTGGAGACATCTGTCTCTGTCAATAGCTTTCTGTTGCCTCCATCTCAGAGTAAGTGATGAAGATTTGAAAAATCATTTATATTCAGTAAAAATAGGTCATGCGATAAGTGACATTGCATTTGCCCATCAAGGCTACAATAGTCATGTCATTTATAGCCATGAATGAACATGAAATACAAAGACTGAAATTTGCATTCTCTTCAGTTGTCACGTGCAATCAATGTGTTTATATTTTCTGTGACATCCAAGTCACATAGATTTTATATGTATTTTTTAAAGATTTATTTTATTTTTATTGGAAAGGCGGATATACAGAGAGGAGAGACAGCGAGGAAGATCTTCCATCCGATGATTCACTCCCCAAGGGAGCGCAATGGCCGATGCTATGCCAATCCGAAGCCACGAGCCTCTTCCGAGTCTCCCACGCGGGTGCAGGGTCCCAAAGCCTTGGGCCGTCCTCGACTGCTTTCCCGGGCCACAGGCAGGGAGCTGGAAGGGAAGCGGGGCTGCCGGGATAGAACCAGCGCCCATATGGGATCCGGGGCATGCAAGGCAAGGACCTTAACCACTGCACCATCGCACCAGGCCCAGATTTTATATTTTCTACCCCTGGCTTGTTGCACTGCAATTTATGTGTGATTTCTTTGCCAGTGACACGAGTTTCTTTGACATGTAGTATTACTCTGTGGGGACAGTGGACTGGCTCAAAGTGTCTTAATAAATACTCATTATCAATCTATGTTGAGATGTGTTTATTCATGTATAGGGTATCTTCAATCATACATGGCACTGATTCTACACTTGTATGTCCATGAGCCAATGCATTGCCTTATCTTCTGATTTTGCTTTAATTTTCTTCTTCCCACTTATTTGGGGATACAACTTTGTCTTAATGAATGTCGAATATTCTAGCCATGATCAACCATTTCAAGCTGGGTTAGTACAGGCTCATTCACAGTGCAAATTTCCAATGGATATAGTTTGGTCATTCAGCTTGCAAGTTATCTAGAAAAACACTTCTATCTATGGACAAAACCGAGTTTTTGTCCCCTGATAGACTCCCTACAATGTATTTCAGCATTACAGCCTATGCTTCCAGATATCTTCTTTTTTTAAACATATTTAGAATATATTTTTAATTGAAAAGTCAGACACAGAGAGGAGAAGAGATAGACAGGAACGTGTTCTGTCTGCTGATTCACTCCCCAAGTGACCCCAACAGCTGGAGCTGAGCTGAAGCCAGGAACCAGAAGCTTTTTTCCATTCTCACACATGGGTGCAGGGTTCCAAGGATATTTTGGCTGTCCTTGACTGCTTTCCCAGGTCACAGGCAGGGAGCTGGATGGCAACTGGGGCTGTTGGGATTAGAACCAGCATCCACATGGTAACTCAGCGTGTACAAAACAAGGACTTTATTCACTAGGCTGCCACATCTGGCCCTTCAGGACATCTTCTAAGCTACATTATAGAATATCCCTAATTGGATCCAACATTTCCTCATTGTTTCCATGGAGAGGATCAGAATGCCTCCCACTTGAGCTCATGGCAATCACTGACAGAAAGCTATAGTTACTTATTTAGTGCACTAAACCCTCTTCTTGCCATTTGGATCTTCTCATTTGCATACGTTCGTTCCACCTTCATGCACTTCCAAGGAAAGTGACATACAAACACCACTGGAGAGCACTATGTCCGGTGAAAGAAGAAAGCAGGGGACTCAGTAACATTTCCCAGGGTGGGGCGAATTCTCCTGTGGTCTTGGGTTCCTTGTGAACCTTGGAGCATTTTCTTCCAAGAGTCCACCTGGCTGAGATTTGGTCTTGAATAGAGTCACAAGCGACTTGTTCCTTTCATTTAAAGAGGCATGCTTCATTTTCTGCACAAGGGGGTTCTGAGAGGAGTTCTGAATAGAGATCAGGTGTGGCTTCTCCAGGTCAGCCCGAAATTCCCCATTCAGATATTGACTGTGGCTGAGGGGAATTTGCTTCCACGTCTGAGCTCTGTTTCTTTAGCTCTACGGGGCAGGTGCTTTCTTGAGGTCCAACGTTCTGAGCCATCTTCACTCTAGAACTCTGCCTCACTCTACAACATTGTCCTGTTATGGTAACCTTTGCGCAATCTAGGCTTTCCTTGTAACACAGCACTTCAACTTTAAGACATGAATGTGTTTTTGTCTTCATAGAAGAAGGTCCTCCCTGTTCTTTCATTTTGTAGCAAATGACAACCTATACTTTTCTTTGGGATTGAAATGAGATTCTTTGTTCTCTCTTTAGGCTGAATAGCAAACTACTGTGTATGTGGTGACCACATTCACATTGCCCATTCATCCATTGACATGTACATACTTCAGTTAGTTCCACAATGATAAGAATAAGAATATAAAATCATATTATATTTATGATGTGTTAATTTCATTCCATAACTGTGATGACCCATTAATGTGAACCCATGTCGATATGTTTACCATGAATATCATGAAATTATCTTCTCATTCTTCACAGAGTAATTGAACCTCAGAGATTTCTGTAGAACAAGGTCAATGTAATAAGCTTAGTACTCTCATGTTGAACTGCTACTAAATAGTTGATTGCTGTGTTTTAGCTTCAGTTTCATCACCACAGGATGCTTCCTGAAAAGATGTGAATAGTCAACAGTCAACATTCCCTGTAGAGGTGGTGGGTAGGCTGTCCTTAGACAGGAGTCTGGGCAGGAACTCTTAGCACACCCCACCCATTCCCTTCCTCACAGTCTAGGGAGCATCTGAGATCTATCTGAAGCCTTGCTGGGCCAAAGCACTGTGCTTCTGCATTAGCGATTTATTTAAAAATGTCGGAGTGACAAGGGAGGAGGTGGAACATTTCTCACCAGAATTCACATTCCACTCACCTGTGGGATTTTGTAGAGCTCCGAAATATATCCACTTCCAGCAGAAAGCACTGAGTTCATTCCAGCAGTGACAACAGCTGACTTTGTGTCTAGCAGTTGTACTTGGGGATCAAATTATGGCCCCATGTCAGCCAGTAAAGGGCACAAAATAATGAATTTGTCACTGGCCAAGGCATTGTACAACCAAAAACCCAAGGACATATATGGGAGCCTGTCGTGGTGTTTTTGGATCTCATGCATGGCAAAGTAAAGGGCCACACACATTGGTTGTTCTTCCATAAACACATAAGCAAAGAGGCAGTAAAACAGCGGAGGAGCAGACCATGGAATTCAGTGCATCAGCACAGCCATGCCATGAAACAGAACTAGGCAGGCTCAGGTGCCATTCTGGGTGTCTCAACTGTGGCACATGGAGCTGCTGACAAAAAGATTCCCAGAGATATGGAGGATTTTGGAGTGGACCTTGAACATAATCAAACTTAGCAGAATCAGTGCTCATGTCCCTACACCAGCACACATTGATCCTGGGGACACAGACAGGTGAAAGCACCTCTGTATTCAGCAATGTCTGGAATACTTTCAATACCTCTGGCTTGTTGATCATTCCAATATTTGACAGTATTGTTGTCTCAAACAGATCCACCAAAACCATGTCTCTGAGCCCTGTCTACAGGTTCCACTGAGAATTGTCAACTTCCATGTCAGCAACCAGTTACATTGTATTTTACTGACTGACAAATTAGTATTTCTGATTGTGAGGATATTCACAGCATCCAATTTGTTTTCATTCAATTTGTTCTCCCTGCATGCCTTTTATTTTTGCCATTTTGTTTTCTTTTCCTGAAATTTCTCTGCTTCATTCCCTCTGCTTAGGCAAAAGGATAGGCTTTAATAGTAGTGCTCGAGTGCTACATGTCTGAGTGGAAGCTTTGTTATCGCAAAATAGGTACCTTGGATATTACTCCTAAGAGTGTATTGAATATTCCCTAAAATATAGCTTTCAGCTGAGGTGCTAGTTTTGTGAACCCATGAATCTCGACCTACTTATCGGTTGCCCTAAGCATAGCTTCCAGGCCTGCATGGGCAATGTGACCTGAGATTGGAGAGTCCAGAGAGATAGGCATGCGTACTTATCAGTTACAGTGTGGTTGTTGGGTGAAAGCACAGTTGGAGCACCCATTTCCCTTCCATTTTTACTCTATGTAAGTCTGTAATTCTCTCAGATAAATGAACATCCCTCACCTGATTGTTTCTGGTGATTCTTTGCCAAAGAAAACTATCACCTCACCACTTGATAGTCTTGGGGCCTGGTGGTTAGGAAACACCCAAGAGTAGTGTTCATAAAAGGTAGAAACATATAGGTAGATTGGTGGTGTACTGGGCACAAAGCAAGGACTGAGGAATCGGGACACACTGAAACAGAAATGGACATTGTGAGAATGATGGGCAAGCTGCACCTGACCAGCAAGTCTTTGAAAACAAGTACTAAAAGATGTTGAAAAAAATCACACCTCAGGATCAAACAATGTGCCTTATAATTCCAACTAGTAAAACTTGCCAATCAAAATACTCCTTAGCTTATTCCACAGAGTTGTGCAAACTGAGTGACATTCGAACTGTCCAATATTGGGTGAAGTGTGGGATATAGATTTAGAATGACATTGAGTGTTCATGGACACAATAGCATGAAGTGGATCAGGTCTAGGGACATACATCACTAATGTAGTGCTTAGGATGGAAGTTTAACCAGAGCTGGAGTAGGAAGATTGTGGCCACAGAGCTCTTTCCCAGGTCTAGGCATAACATATTCACAGCTTCTCATGGTAAACATTCAGACTGCATGACTAGAACTAATACTGACCTCAAGCCTATTCTTTGTCCTCGGAGATGGTAATACCCTCTCATGTCCTAGTCAGCAGAGCTTGAGACTAGAGTTCTAACTGCGTCACTCACTTCCGAAGATTCAGGAGTTGATGAGGAGTCAGATCAATGGAGTGGGTATAAAATATCATCTCTTATCTCCTCTCCCAACCTTTCTTTCTGGCTTTTGCACTTCTGCTCTGCAATCTCTCTCTTTGAAGGCATGAGGGAGTAAACAGAAAAATGGGAAGAGAAGAGTATTAAAGGCAAAGGAAGGGAGTGTACACCAGCCTTCATTGTTGTGCCTTTCTGCAGCTTCTCTATACATTGTTTAGAATTCTCAAGAGCAATTATACGTGAAGACACACACACACACACACACACACACACACACACACAGCACAAGTGCAGACATCAGCACACTTCACACATCACTCAACCTTGGACTTACCTGCTTTCACTTTAGACTCTGCCTGGGTTAGAAAAGATAAACCTATCCTGGCTGCTTCTGGCTGCATGTAGTAAAGGGGAAAAACCCACCTAGAACCAGGTCACCATCAGTGTCGATACTGGGGCCCATTGCCTTATAGCGGTTCTGGTGAGGGCTGCCCTGTGAAGTGCACAAAGGTTTCAGGAGCAGATAGAACAGTATTGCAGGCAACAGCATGCTATGGCAACCTAGGGCAGGGGTCAAGCCACAATCCCCTGTGGATATTAAGAGGATGCAAGTTACCTTCCATGTGTCCTCTCAGCTCCCACCTCGTAGGCTAGACCTCCATGTAGATCACCACTGTTTTCAGTATTGCTGAATGACTTCAAATGGTAGATAGTGTATGCAATTTTACTGAGCCCTATAGGGACACAAATCCAGAGTAGACCCTTCAGGGGAACCGCTAGTACTGACACCTTGCCCTGATGTCCTTGTGATCAGACCGGCTGTGGCTTGTACAACTTTACATTGCTTCCTGTTTCCTTCAGCAACTAGGGGGATCGCTGTGACCTGAGACCCTGAACCTGCCACTACTGATCATGATGAAGACCTGCTTTGGGCTCCCCTTCTTTCCACACTGCAAGCTGGGACAGTAGCTCTGTCAACACTGGGTCCAGATAATAACATGTATGTTTGAAAGGCTTGGAAGTTTTAGGAAGAGTTAGTTTTAGAAATTTAGTTCACACACACACACACACACACACACACACACACACACACACTCAGTTTCATTGTTTCTTATGATGCTTTGTCAAGAAGATCAAGTGTCAGTCATGGTAGGGGCACCCCTCTAATCAGTGGGGGGTGATGCAAACTCCCTCACTGACTGAGTGCGAAGTAACTGCAGGGGTTAGTGTGGCAGGAGCTCTGGCCAAGCTTTTCCACACAAGCCTGGTTGCCACTTGATGGAGCAGAATCCTAGCAATTCAGCCCAACAGGCATGGATTTGCCAGTTGGGTTTTTTCTGTGGGTCACACAAGTACCTATCCATAGGATTTAGTTTTTAGAGTTTAAAAAGTGAAATGGAAGTTCAGGTTTATTGGGTCAAGATTTATAAATCCACGCAATAAACTGTTCAAACTTCACCTGTCTTGACTAAAGATACTTTATACTATGTGCTAAGCCCATCGTGATAGACATGTACATGTGGAATCCACACAGTTCTACATCTACATGTTCTTAATAACTCAAGGAATGTTAAAAAAGAAAATCACATGGGTTGGCTCTCTGTTTCTTCCTGGATTCTAACATGACAATGCATTTTTCATTTGATATTGTAAGGATCAGTGTAAGCAAATGCAAAGTTTCAATTTTCTGATTACAGGTAATTAAGAGAATGTGTTGAGGACCTTGTCTTCTGGGTCACATGTGAATTCTATACTGGTACCTGGAGCTTGTATTCTTGCATGAGCACCATGTATAAGAACTGCATAAGGCCACTGTTAAAAGTGTATCCCAAATAACATACGCCATTTCACATATTTAATTGACATTTTACTGAGGCAGAGACACACGCATCCACTGACTTGTCCTTGATGGAGTTGTTTCAGACATGATACGTTGTCCAGTAGTCAGGCTGTCCCTGATCATATACATGAACCAAAATTTGAGCAACCTATGTACCAGGTAAAAAATGAGTGGAAAGCATTGACATTTGAAAAAATGTAATTACAATGATGGAAATATTACTAACCACTATAATCACATGTCAAACATACAACTAGAGTTCTTCTCAATGACATCAGCTCAGCCTGCAAGTGGAAACATTGAGAATGTGAGTCCATGCTGGAATTTAGAGTCTTGATTGGAGTCCAGATGTCAGACAAGAGAACGATCATTTTTCTTCTTCCTCTACGTAAAAACATTTAAACTCAGTGACCTGGGAAGCTTTGTGCTAATGCAAGCTTCTCCAGAGGAAAACATTGGGGAGGCAGAAAAAATGGTTAGAGAAATTTATGCCCATAGTAACATCACCGAGCAATAGAGAGCAACATGCTTGATGAGTTTCTTGAATAGGTCTGTTGCAACATCAGATGAGCATTTACCGTGGTTAGCAATGCTGACACTTGCTCCTGTTTGTCCTCATTGAACACCTTAACAGGCTGTACACCAAAGGACATTGCAGAGGTGAACATTTTCCCAACAGGGAAAGATTGAGAGTTACTATAGTGGAAACCCTGAGACTAACTTTCCTCACACTCAGAGCAGTGCATCCAGTGCACAGAGAACAAGTACCAAACAGGGAGAAACCTCCCCAGCCTGCCTCCCCAAGTTGGTGACCGTTCTAGGCTTTGACGATGCCCTGGGGATGGCCCTGGCCTGCAAAGCATTGTCCCTCACTCTTACTATAGCAACAGTGCTGTGGGTCTTGTGAAGCACTGAGACACACCCTTCTACAGAAAGCTCAGCTACATCCTGCTCATCTCACTCCTCCTGTGTGTGTGTGTGTGTGTGTGTGTGTTTCTATATATGGTTCGTTGTTTTTCAGAATTCCAAACAACGTATACTGATGCTACAAAAATGCATAACAATGAAAGCTGGTGTACTCTCCCTTCTTTTGCCTATAATGATCTGATCTTCCCACTTTTCTGCTTGCTCTGAGCATACCTTCAAAAAGAGATTGGTAAGAAAGAGCAAGAGAAATGGAGTGTAAGAGAGAAAATATTTCATATTGAACCCATTGTTTTTAGTGATTAACACGTGACATCTGTGAAATGAGAGAGACAGACAGATCTCTACTCTCAACCTCTCCAGCAAAAGGCAGGACACATGCCATGGTGATCTGGCATGAGATTGGTGTTAGATTTAGTTATTCAGTCTAGGGAATAACTTTCGTGTCTGAGTTCCATCACCCTCAATGCAACCTGCCACACACAGAGGTAAATATTTGAGTCTTTCTCAACAGAAGCCTTGTGGACACCTGATCCTGATTGAAAAAGTAACCTTGAGTCAGTGATACTTCTGAAAGGGGAAGAATTGAGGACGGCCTTGTTCAGGCTATAAGGACATAAATTTGGAAACCATCCTTGGCATTCTGCCTTGCAATTCTACATTTGGCAAATGTCTGTTCTCCTAATTATTACATTATGGACACATTTCACTATACCTGATGCATTTCATGTTATTGTATCCATGATCACTTTGTGTCATTCTAAATGCATAACCAACATTCAATATTGGACACTTCAAGTGTCACTCAGTTTGCACAACTCTGTGGAATACGTTAATGATAATGTGCTTATTTGTGTATTTTACTGGTTGGAATTATTGGAGAATATTGTTGGGCCCTGAGGTGTTCTCTTTTGGAAAGCTTTCGGTATTGTTAACAAACACTTTCTGGTCAACCTGCAGTGTGCCCATCACTGTCACAATCCTCATTCCTGTTTTCAGTGTGTCCCCATTCCTCCATCCTTCCCTCATGCCCAGGACACCACCAATCCACCTTGTGGCTCTGTACCATTCTGCCTGTCAGGAACACTTCATCTAAACTGGTTCTTTAGCTTTGGGATCTTCTGCCACTGGCACCTGTCACTTCACAATGTGTTATCCCAGGTGTGAATTGTAGTAACATTTGTCACAGTAATTTAACATCTAGATCTATAGTTGGGCTTGTAGATACTTGTTAAATGATGGCAGTATTGTGAATGGGTATTTTACAGTCTTCTTGGTGTAATGTTTACCATGCTATCATCTATGGCTTAAATATTTGGCAAGAAAATCAGCAGCAGGACCATTGTATATCTTGTTTCACCTACACATTGTGCTCTAGAATCACGGTCATCTGATTTTTAAAAATCTTCAAATTAACACACATACATGTGGCACACTTCTTTTGTAAAATGGGCTAATATTTTCAGACAGCGTGATTGCATTAAATTGCACCCTTCTAGATGATATTTGATATCATGTGTTGTTAAATAGTATCATCAAGGTTACTAAGTCCAATGTAATGAAGAGCATTCTTTATCAGAGGGATTAGTTTAAAGGTCATGGGTTTCATGGTAAGTTTGGAAATTCTCCCATCATAGTAATTGATTGATGTTTATGTTGGACACTTGACAAATCAACAAAAGCCTTTGCTGAAGTGCCTTGTGCCTTGATTTTTCTGTGGTGTTGAACCTGCAATTCTACTTCTCATGAGAATTAATGATGTGCTACCAAAATTAAGCTCATAACAAGTGCCATAGTAACTCAGCAATGAAATCAAATGCCCTTTATAGGAGAAATTAAAAGCAGGGAGGAAAAACTGATGAAAAATAAGAAAATTTTAATTTAATTACATTGATTTGGGATTCAAATAAGTAAAAGTATCACAAGACAGCAGTAGCCAATTTTCTGTGTGTTGAATTTTCTTCATGTGCAACAAGTAACCCTTCTATTTGAACCTGAAAAAATTCTCGTTCAAGTATATGTAGAAGCAATAAATTCAACTCTTTTTAAGTTAGAACAATAAAATTTCATGCTCTGTATCTAAGGATACTTGACACAAAATTGTGGGAAACTGGACAGAAAACCTAAAATAAACACTATCATTGGAAAAATATATCAAATATTTCTTGAAATTAGCAAGAACTGAAATGACAGCTTGCTACCTCCAACATTCCAACATACAGTTAAATGCAAACCAACCAACATGTGATTGCATAAAATAATTTAATGCCAATAGTTTATCAATATGTGTGAATTAGACTAATATTCAGATCACACATGAAATATAGAAACCAGAGAAAATTCATAGGAGTGAGAGCAAAGAAACATATTCTGAGAGAACAAAACTTCTACTCAGACATGGAGCACTTGAGAGCTATTGTTAAACTCAATATTACTTCCCATGCTGGACAGAAACATATAGAGGAGGTTCAGGAACAGAATGCAAACTTAAAATACAGAATTCAATACAGGGGGAACACAGTGAATGAAAGTAGAGTGAAAGCTGCCAATGTTCTCACAATTAGACATCTTAAGTCAAGTGTTGATTAGTCAGTCAAATATAACTTAACCAGTTGCTTCCATGGAGTTGACATTTCTCAGCAGAATTTGCAGACAGGGCTCAGGAAGAAGAATTTGCTGGATCCATTTAAGAGAAAAAAATATAATCCCAAATATTGGAATAAGTGAGGAGCAGGAAGGCATTTAAATATTCTTGAAATCAGGGATAACTGAAGTACCTTTTCCTTTCTGTGAGCCTAAATTGGGGCATATCTAGGTAATCCGATATTGCTTGTGAGGGGGCATGAGCAGAGGCATCCAAGGGCTACTCTCCATGGACCACAGCTGAACTACCCCAGAATGGTGCCTGATCTTGTCTATTGTTGCTCAATGGCATTGCTGTGTGGCTGCCCTGAATTTTATGGTCTGATCCTCCTCTGTGTTACTGTCCCTCTGCTTAGGTGGCTGTGGAAGAACTATCAATATGTGCTGGCCTTTTACTTTGCTATCCAGGAGATCAATAGGTACCACCACTTGCTCCCAAACAAGTCCTTGGGTTTCCAGTTGTACAATGCCTTGGCCAGTGAACAGTATACACTGTTGAATGCTCTGTACTGGCTGACAGGGGACCTTAGCCTGACCCCCAACTACAGCTGCCAGACACGGAGTAAGTCAGTTGTTGTCCTTGCTGGAACAAGTGCAGTGCTCTCTGCTGGGATTGGCACAATTTTGGAAATCTACAAAATCCCACAGGTGAGTGGAATATGAATTCTGGTGAGAAATATTTTCAACTCCTTCCAAGTCATTCTGACATTTTTGATGAAAAGATAGTGCAGAATTATTTAGTTGCCATTTGAAGCTACTCTGAAAACCATGGCAGTCCTAAGCCCCCAATTTCCCCCTAAATTTTGAGGGCTCAGTTACTGATAGATCAGTTGTCACCCATACACTCTGCTTAACTCTGCACTCCTCAAGGCCACACAGGCAGATTCTTTCACAGAATTCTACTGAATTTTCCACATTTGACTCAGAGTAAACTATGTGTGTGTGTGTCTGAAAGCTGAGAAACAGATATAAATACCCTTTCACAGGGATTGTCAGAAAATGCCACCAAGCTGCAAGAGCTGCCTGGCTGTGGTGAATTCCTGGAGTCTGACCTTCATTCCAAATATTCCAGATAGTTATCAGGAGCTTGACTTCATGAGCAATCAGTGGTGCCTCTCAGGCTCTACAATAAACTTGTCAGAGATTCTAGAGCAGACCCAATGCAGACAAGTGTAGATCTGGACCACATCAAGACCAGAGACAGTAGCTGATGATACCTCTAGTCTGAAAAGCAGTTTAACCAGCATTCAGAAAGGACACTTGATCATATCCTTCAAGGAAAGCCAGGTGAAGCTGTAGGAGCAGATGAGATGGGAAGGACTAAGAGACTGACACACTGAGGCTGGTGCTGTGGAAGGGTAGGCTGAGTGTCTGCATGTGTTGATGGGGTCCCACATGGGCACCGGATCAAGTCCCAGGTTCTCCACTTCTGATCCAGCTCCATGCTTGTGGCCAGGAAAAGCACCAGAGGCTGAACCAAATGCCTAGACCTCTGAGACCAGGCATAAAATTTGGAAGAAGCTCCTAGCTTCAGGCTTCATATTGGCTCAGCTCTGGATCCTGTATGCAAATTCCATGCCCCATTTTTTTTCCTGGAAAGGATGAACTCACAAATTATCTCTCATTCCACAAATGAGTTCTCTCAAGTGAAGCATGTTATTTTTGGAGCCCAGAGAAAGGAACTTGGCCATCTCCATTTAAAATGTTCTGTATCCAATAATATTGTGCTCACCTTCTGATAGATTTTTAAAAATCTGTTTTCCAAGTAAAATCATTGTGTCTAATTATCAGCTCACTTACGGTCCTTTTGATCCCATGTTGAATGATAAGATGCAGTTCCCCTCACTCTATCAGATGGCCAACAGCGACAGCTCCCTCGTCCATGCCATGATCTCCCTGCTGCTGCATTTTGGCTGGACATGGGTGGGACTCTTGGTGTCTAATGACATGAGAGGAGAGCAGTTCTATCAGAACATCCACACAGAGATGGTCAAGAGAGGAGTCTGCTTGGCCTTTGCCTTCAAGCTCCGTGAGACAAGGACAAAGCATGAAACCACTGACAGCTCTTTCCTTTATTGGCTCAGCATTTCCTCTGCAAATGTGCATATACTGTGCAGTAACATCAGGGGCCTCTTTGCCTTGGAACACCTAAGTGCATACTATCTAACCATGGGGAAGGTGTGGCTCATGACAGCCAAGTGGGACATTGTTGTTGAAGACACCCATCACATGTTGCACTCTTTCCATGGGGACTTTTCCTTCTCACCGCACAAGGGCAAAATCTCAGGACTCAAAACTTTTCTAAAGACAGTGAACCCCACCCACTACCCAGAAGACTTATAATTTGGTGAATTGTGGTTTCTTTTTTTTCACTGCCTACCTGCTGGGTCACATTGTAGGCATATCAACATTTGCCTTCCAAATGTTTCCTTTGAAATTTTCCCAAAGAACACCAATGACACTTGTTGGCGAGGATGTGGGGAAAAGGGAACCCTACTCCACTGCTGGTGGGGCTGCAGGTTGGTAGAGACTTTATGGAAATCAGTCTGGAGAACACTCAACTCAAAATCTGCATACCATATGATCCAGCAATGGCACTACTAGGAATATATCCAAAGCACCTGTTTCACAAGAAACCAACATGCATCCCTATATTCATAGCAGCACAATCATTAATTGCCAGAACATGGAAGCAACCGAAATGCCCATCAACAGAAGATTGGATAAGAAAACTTTGGTTCATCTACTCCATGGAATACTACTCAGCTATTTAAAAAAGCAAAATGCAGTTATTTGTGGCTAAATGGGCCCAACTGGAAACTATAATGCTAAGGGAAATGAGTGAATCCCAAAAGGATAGATACCACATGTTTGCCTTAATTTAACCAGTAATTTTATTTGTTTGTTGGTTTATTTGTTTTTGAACCTGTCTTAACCTATGTGTTGTGAAAAATTGAACTCGCATCACTTTTAACATATTGTTTACTCAATACTATGTCAATCAATTTCATAACATTGTAAATTGATGCTGATGTTTTGTTGGGGCTTTTAACGGACCGTGACTTTACTCTGTTAGCTCTACCTTCAGACCAGAGAAGGTCTCCCCTAGAAACTGCTGAACTTACCTGGACAATAAGATGCTGGACTCTATGCTAGGTATATGCTTGCAATGAATGAATCCCAATTGAACTTCAACTGTGATTATGCAGCAAGGTGGAGGAATCACCATAGGGTGAGGGTTGTGGTACGTTGGGGGGAAATCCCAGTGCCTATAAAATTTTATCAAATAATACAATCTTATTAACAAGAAAAAAAATTAAAAAAAGAAAATTTCCCAGGACACATTGACATGCTGACCATGTCTGACTCCAGCTACTTTGTGTACAATGCTGTGTATGCAGTGGCCCACTTCTGGCATCAGGTGTTTCTGGAGAAAATAGAAATGGGATTCCCAGAAGACACAGCTCAGTGTATGATTCTTCCCTGGCAGGTAAGCCTCCTCCACAACAGGACATGCTCTCAGCATCAGATGACAAGGGTATTAATTGAGATTATTTTCATGCTTTTTTTTTTTTGCATGATCCAGCATGTAGAAAATGGACTCTTCCTCAGTGTGTGACAATTGTCCATTTGAGGAGGATTAGATGTTTGTCACAAAAATTTGTTCAATGTTTTCCTGACATATACTGTACTCAACAAAAATGCACATAGCTCAACATCAAAATGAGCTTATTGCCCAAATTCTGGGAAAAACATCACTAGTACCCCTACATTGTTCATTATGGCCATTTAAATTTCTTTTTTTTTTAACATGTTGAAGTGGCAGTGATCAACTTTGTTAGACTCAGGAACACAAAATTTATAACTGCTTAATCAATGATGTGACATCCACACTGCTTTATACTCCCATCTCAAAAAGCACAATATATGATTGTTCATCTTTAAGTCTGTCTTATTTCACGAAGCATCACAACCTCCAACTCATTCTATTTTGTTATAAATGTGAAGATTTTGCTCCATCTGGTGACTGAGTAGTGTTCCACCATGTTAGTACACCACCTTTTGCTTATTCACTCATTGTTTAAGGAGTGAATATTGACTCAGTCATATTTTAGCATAATACTTGAGTGCTTTAGACAAGGCCAGGCTTTCTTTCTTTGTTAATTAATTAGTTAATTAATTTTATTTCTTTCTTTATTTTTGTAGAACGCCTTCTACACAGGGTAAGGTAAAACCTCACTATGTTGATGTATTTCTGGTCATTTCTGCTTCATGCTTGAAAAATGCCTATTCGTATCCTTAGCCCACATATTGAAGGGATCATTCGCTTGGGTTGTTAGTGAGTTTCTGGAGCTTGTTGTATATTCAGCATATCATTTCTGGTGGAACATATATAAAGAAGTCTACCTTTCCATTCATGAAAGTGTCTCTTCACTCTGTGGAGTACTGTCACAGAAGTTACTTAACTTAATGAAATTCATGTTGTAGCTTTGCCTTTATTGCTTCTGTGGTTGAGTATTACCAAAGAGGTCTTAGCTGAGTCCAGTCTTGCAGCATTTCAAGCGTTTTTTTTTTCATAGTAATTTGATAGTTTCAGGTTGTGTATTTAATATTTTCGTAACTGCTGGTATGACACTTAAAAAACAGATCCAAGATAGCAGCATAATTTCAGGGAGACATGCAGAAATACATTTTTTCGCAGCTTAGATTTTGAAAGAGACTCAAAGTATTGCTAAAGATGAGATCTCTCAGCATTTGTAAAAACAATACATCTCTCTTTATATATATATATAGCTTATATATATATATATATATAGTTAACATATCTTTATATATGGATTTTAACCCAGGCATATTGCAAGCTATTACTCATGTGAAAGGATTTAATTAATAAAATTTTCATGCATGTACAAGAAATTGTACTAATCAAATTAGTTGAGCCAATCACACAAATGGAAAGTCTCACAAAAGGCATGCTCACATTTTTACCACACAAATATATAAATATACACATGTATATATATATAAATTATATACATATACCTGTATATATATGATGTGAAATCAGAAATTTTACTGTGCAATATTTCTAAGCCTACTTGCAATAAGAGCTCACATATAATTGGGACATGCTGGCCTCACATTTAAAGCAGTAAGTTAATTAATTGTGAATGTGACCATAGATAAGCTAATGGAACATTTATGAAGTTTACTTCACATCAGTGGATACAGTGACAGCATATTGTCTTGACCTGAACCCATGGCAGAATAGCTGCTCAGACCACTGAGCATCCAGCTATTATCGTCTCAGGGCATAAAGTGAAGGAAAAGGAAGAATTTCCTAGGACATATATACCTCCCATCTCTAATGTGATTGTTTTCTGGTTTCTAACTCTGCTTCTCATCCAGCTACATCCACTTCTGAGGACAACACAGTTCACCAACTATGCTGGGGATCATGTGTCCCTCCACAAAGCAACACCTCATCAGGTACACTATAATATTCAGAACATTGTCAACTTTCCTGCAGGCCTCCGAGTGATGGTTAACATTGGAAGGTTTTCCTCTGGGAGTGGACATGACCAAGGTCTAGTCATCAGGGAAGTCATGATAGAATGGCCTGTTGCATTCAAGGAGGTATGGTTCTGGGGAAAATTTTGGACAGGCTCAAAGGCTCTAAGTGGATGAGGATCATTTTGGATTTCGCAACTTCAGATGTGGAGCACTGATATATTAAAAAGTCACAGGGAACTAAATTCTGTGAATCCAAGGAAATGCTTATTGCCAGCTTACCTTACCTCCATTCCACCTGGGTCTCTTAACCATTGAGAAAAGGCAATCCTCAGCTTATGAAGTTACAAGGACATCTGTCTTCTAGGCAGTTTACACAGTTGACACAGAGACATAGTTCACACCATGCGTAGCTATAAATAACAAGTCACTGCTTCTAAAGTGCTACCTAAGTCTCATGAATTTTCATTCTTTGTTTAGGTGATAAACTACCATTGCTTGTGAAGGACAAAAGCAAGCACAGTGGGAGTGTGCATAGAGTACTCTGGCAGAGCCTGTAACCTAGGCAATGTTCCAAAAGTCACTCATGTGCCTGCCCTCAGGGGCTTGTCTCCAAGCACTTCCAAAGACCTAAGGGACCCCTCCAACAAACTTTAGAGCCCAGTGACCAGTTCTCAGCACAAACTTCTCCAAGATCCTCATGGCTACACCCTGACCTGCAAGAGTTCATTTGAAATAGCTCAACAGAAAGACAAAATTGCCATAGGCATATGTCTAGAGATGAATTAAATGAATGTGATCAGATGTCCTGACACTATCTGATAATGAGTTGAAAATCTTGAATGATCAAAACACACGAAATTCTAGGTTTATCTGGTGTAAACAGGAACAAGCGTGCAGAATACTGAATTATGCCAGCCAGTCTTTTTGTGGTGTTGGGGAAAACATTGATATCTTCTCCAAGTGTGTAGTGATGTGCCAAATCCTGACCAATGCTTCTTTATGCTCCCTCAGACTCCAACATCTGTGTGTAGCCAGAGCTGTGGGCCAGCATTCAGGAAAATGCCAGAGGAAGGAATGGCTGTCTGCTGCTGCACCTGTGTTTCCTGTGCAGAGGGGAAGTTTCCAATCAGACAGGTATAAAACACATAACTTACCTTTGAGAACTCCATTGTCTTAGGCATAGATGTTGTGGCTTGACAGTGCACTGTTGTTCTCCAGACACACACTCACTCACTCTTTCAATATGGGTGCTTTAGACTTACTAATACCACTTCATTATATTTGACCTACTGTAGGAGGACATTGTGAGCCTGGAAATCCAGCAGCACAGGATTGCAGTTCATTGGGCAGTATTTGCATGGAAACAACCAAATGGCTATCTTTGCATACCTGTTGGGAGATAGTTCCCATGGGTCGAGTAAACAGCATGCAAATGAGAACACCTAGCGCGATGTAAAGACAATAGTAATTCCAATCTAGAGTGCGAAAACAGTTGATGGTTTTGTTTATGAGCTCGATACTTCCTCCCCTACCCAGTATGGACTCTCAGAGTATAAAGTCTGATGCCCCTAATAAACTTCGGCTTTGACCATCAGTCAGGGTCCACGCGTGTTATTATCGGCTCCATGCACCAAGTCCGTCGCTGCGGGACAGCGACAAGTGGCGCCTGAACAGGGACTTGAAAGAAGAAAAGAAACTGCAGCGGAGACCCCCACAGGAAGTGGTGAGTGGGACAATGGGCCAGAAGCAGTGTAGAGCACAGTCATTTATCTCTCTTATGCAGAATTTTTTAGTGAAAAGTGGAGCAAAGGTAACTAGGCAGCAATTGCGTTCTTATTTAGAGCTTATTGGTGAATATAATTGTTGGTCTCCAGATGAATGGACACTAGAAACTGGATTTAAGAATTTTACTCAGAAAAATGCTGAAAAAGCCGGAAGGATAGAAGATAATCTGTCGCGCCCACGTGTCTTACCGCCCAGCAGTAAGAGGCAGACGCGAGTGAAGCCTTCTGCGGTAAAATTTATTGCGCGCACAAAGATGAGGAAGAGGAAGGGGGCAGACCCCGGCAGTCTTTCTGCTCTTATGTGCTGACTGGCCCCGCCTCCGCCGATGATAGGTCAGCGTCATGATCACGCAGGGTCCTGGGCGACCGGATTCGTCAGTCCCCAGTGTTCACGCGCCAGCCACGCCGCAGCTCACTGCGCTAGGCGCCTGACTTCCACCACGCACGAAGGTGTGGCTTCTCCGGCTGGCGCCATTTTAGGCACAGCATGTGGCCAGTGCATACAGATGCGGCTTGCAACATCTCTCCCTTTCTTATACAATAGAAAAAATAAGCTGGTATGGGCCTGTCTTAGGTTGTAGACTCAAGGCGCACGATCCGTCATAGGGAGGCTGCGTAGCTTGACGTAGTCCCTGTCTTAGACCGATAATTGTCTGGGTCTATCTTACCCGTCATGGGCTACAACCGCGGTGGTTGTAAAGAGCAATGTCTCGACAAGGCAGTTATAAGAGTGACTACCCTCTCGCGTGCAATGGATAAGTCCTGCGAGGTGCAAGGGCTAGTCAGGTGCATCATGCTCGAACTCAGTGCAATGCCATAATGGCCTGAGGTGCAGGAGCCATGATGTCCATGCTCTTAACTAAACCCGTTGAAGCATGCTCAACCATACCATGGGGGAGTCACCATACTGCATGGCTAGTAGGGCTTGATGTATTGCCACACGATCTCGCTGAGCGCGGTGTCTCAGACGACACAGGCAAAAAAGGCATAAGGCACAGCCTGCACACAAGAGCAGAATCAGCACAACCACTCCCACCCATTCCTTAATATGGGAAGTGATGTTCCAAATCCAAGTGGCCAGGGTTTCAGCAACAACAGGATCCACCCGTGTAGAATTAATCTGGACAATGGCAATTCTCAACTCCGACTGTAAAGTATCAAATTCTCTCGTCCAATTTCCTAAAAGATAAGAAGAAAGCTGGCAAGAAAGATTAGCAGCCGTTGAAACATTTTGAAAAGGAATAGAAGTAACACATAAACCTTGACACTAAAATTCTCAGGAAATGCTTGAAAACAAAGTGCGTCCTGTAGGGGGAATAAAAAATTACTCACATTCTCCTTAATATCATCATAAGGGAGAAAAGGCAAATCCAAAGAAGAAAAAATCAAGGAAACACTCGGGCTGAGTGGGCGACCGGTAAGGGTCGTGGAAAAACACTCAAAACTCCTCATCGTGGCTCAGCAATCACGGTCCTCACAAGCGCCATACAGACCATTAGTTGCACCATCAGCCGTGTTTGCACTGGGCGGGGCACCATTGTCCTGTGGGATTGTAGGAGGAGTTTCTGATTGCGGGTCTGCATGAATCTTCCCCAAGTCAGATCCTCGTGCAAGCGCTCCAGCGGTTGCAGAAACGTCAGAAGGCGGTGATGGACAGGAACGAGTCAATCGAGCTGGAACCCAAACTGGAACTGGGGCGTCCTGTGGAAACACACAAATGGCTCCTCGAGCCTGCCTAATAACTGGGTCTGGGCCCTTCCATTTGGACTCCAGAACATCCTTCCACTTGACCCAAGATTGCTCTTGCGCCGTCTTGAGGGAATGACGATCTGCAGCACTGAGGCCTTTCTCATCCAGCTGTAAAAAATTGATGGTGAAGAGAGCCAGGGCTAGAGTGGCCCGAGGGCTCTGACTGGCGAGGCCAAGTGATTCCCAGGTGGTTTTTTGTTTTTGCAACAATTCCTTAATAGAGCGATGAGCACGTTCGATTATCCCCTGACCTTGTGGATTATAAGGGATGCCAGTCACTAATTTGACACTCATTTTCTGCATTACACGTGCCACAAAATCACCAAAGGGCTCATCTGGCTCCTGCTTAACCTGTGTGATGCCCAGTTTCTCTTGCCCTTTAAGTGAAAGGGCCTTCCAAGCCTTTATAGCTGCAGTAGAAATTTGGGTATATACTGGCCATGGATATCTATCCAAAAGCTCCTGCCATAATCCCTTCCAATTTAGATATGATCCCATATTAGGGAGAACAGCCTTCACCACAAATTGCCAATCAGAGGGAGTCATATTCATTCCCCCCATACGTTCTAACAGGGACAAAGTATAATTGGCGTGAAGACCATATTGCTTTACAGACATGGCCAATTCTCGCACTAATGCTGCATCTACCTGTCTGTAAACTCTTTCCCCTTCTTCTTCTAAGACGGGGAACATATTTTGCAGTTCCCGGCGTGTGGCTGGATCAATGAGGGAGGAGCCGGCGCCACAACTCATGGGCGGGGCAGATGGCTTCACAGCAGGAGGAGCCATTAGTGTAATGGCTCCAGAGCCCTGAGGCCATGGGCCGAGCGTGGCCGGCGCAGTAGCACCGCCATTCTCTTTCTTCTCCTTTTCTGATCCTCCTCTGTCTCCTGCGGGTTTGTGTTCTAAGCACCTATGCCGCCTATCCCGCTTGTACCCTTCCTCCGCGTCGGACGTCTCCGAACTTGATGAGGAAGATACTGCTTTCAATTTCACCTCTATTTTTTGCTTCAAACCGGTTCTCCTCTCCCACTCTGTTTCTGAGAGACTATCCTGGAGAGACTGAAGGGCTTTGTCACTCTCTCTGACCGCTCCCTTACGGAGGGCATAAACCCTCTGCAAAAATTTCACCAGAGAGAACCGTGCGCCCATGTCTATAACCAGAAGCGGTGACTCATATACCTCGCTCCTAGTCACCCGAAAGTTCTCCCTCTCAGAGCTCCTTACCTGTTTTTTGGCCGCAGTTCTGACTTCCACCCGTTCGAAACGGGAGGCCCCCTCCAGGTCCCGGGTTTCGGGCACCAGTTGTCGCGCCCACGTGTCTTACCGCCCAGCAGTAAGAGGCAGACGCGAGTGAAGCCTTCTGCGGTAAAATTTATTGCGCGCACAAAGATGAGGAAGAGGAAGGGGGGGGACCCCGGCAGTCTTTCTGCTCTTATGTGCTGACTGGCCCCGCCTCCGCCGATGATAGGTCAGCGTCATGATCACGCAGGGTCCTGGGCGACCGGATTCGTCAGTCCCCAGTGTTCACGCGCCAGCCACGCCGCAGCTCACTGCGCTAGGCACCTGACTTCCACCACGCACGAAGGTGTGGCTTCTCCGGCCGGCGCCATTTTAGGCACAGCATGTGGACAGTGCATACAGATGTGGCTTGCAACAATAATCAAGTTAGTTTTTGGATTATATCAGCTTTAATTAGAACTGTTATTATAATTTTAGAAGGGGAATGTGCAAGAAACTCCTTTAAGAGGAGACACCCCCAAAATGTAGCTAAAAAAGAAGTGTTTCATAATATGGACAAGGAAGAAAGAGAAAGAGGACTCTTAAGAGGTCCACCTAACAGGAAAGGCTACTGTAATATTTCTAAAAAGGAAGCGCCTCATAGTACAGATGAGGAGGATGGCAAAGAGCAGCCTGTGAGAGATTTCCCTAACGGGAGACGCCACCTTAATGTGGCTAGGAAAGAAATGGTTTATACTACAGATGAAGAAAATGAAAAAGAACATGTGAGAGACCCTCCTAGATGCCACTGTAATGCAGCTAAAAGAGAAAGGCCTTATGCTGCAGATGTGGAAATTAGGAAAAGAAAACTCAGGAGAGATTCTCCTAATGAAAGACGTTACCATAATGTGACTGAAAATGAAATGAGAACTAAGAAAAAGATGAAAATTTGTAGTGTTAAACCACAGGATTTCTCTAGTGAGGTAAACAAGGATAGGATAATGGAAGAGTTAAATACCAGCCCATGCCGTCTCACTCTTAAATCTGATCAAAGACGTTTCCAAATGTCTGATGTTCCCCGGAGATCTCATGAATTCCGATTGCTTTTTCCAATCATACTTAGTCAAGAAAACTATCAACCTACGTATGAAAGCTTAGATGTTAATGCCATCACAGCTTTTAAAAAGGCTTGCGTGTCCTATGGACCTACTTCTTCGTATGTGTGGGAATATTTAAATGGCTGGAGCCAGGGAGCAAACTGGATTCCTTATGATTTTGAAGTAATAGCAAAAATAGGACTTTCTCCTTCTCAGTATTTACAATGGAAAATGTGGAGAAGCGATATGGCTAAGGAAAAATTGCGATCGTTAGGAGCATCAGGTCGCCAACTCCCTGGAGGGGAGCAATTGACTCATGATATGTTAGTCGGAGATGGACAGTGGGTTACTACAGAGCAACAGATACTGCTACCTCAAGCTGCGTTCATTCATATACGAGATGTAGCATTGTTGGCATGGGAGAAAATTGAAGCTGGGTCTGAATTTACAGGCAGTTATACAAAAGTCTTTCAAGGAGCCAGAGAATCTTATGCTGATTTTGTAAGGCGTTTGACAGATTCCATAGAAAAACAAGTTAGAGGAGAAGGCACTAGGAAATTGTTATTAAAGCAACTGGCTTTTGAGAATGCAAACGAGGACTGCCAGACTGTTATTCGTCCTATAAAAGAAAAGGAAGATATTTTTGGTTACCTCAAAGCCTGTCGTAACATAGGCACATTTAAACACCGTGCCCGCCTAGCAGCACTTGAAACCTTTGCCATTCAAAAGCAAATGAATGGAGGGGGAGCGAAGATGGCCGACGTAGGAGGAAGGCTGTGAGGGAGCGTCTAGTGAGAGAGGGATAAAACGCTACAGAAGCAGCAAAGAGGAACAGCAGGGAACCGCAGGGAGAGGTCCGTGAAGCTCCCTGGGACAGTGTGGAGCCAAAAAGATCCACACAACTCGGAAGAACAACGAGAACGGAGCAGGGCAAAGTCAGAGAAACCGACATCCCACTCTAGACCTGCTGAGTCACTTTTGAAAACGGCCTGACGGGAGACGCGGCCAGCTCGGAGGCAGGGAGATCAGGGGGATCGTCGCTGGCGGGAGGCCTTCGGCAGCGGTGGAGGCAGACTGCAGCAGCCGGACGTTTGGTGAGCTCGGGGTTGACGTGGCAGCCTCCGCATTTCTCGCCCCCTGCTGAGATTCCAGCCTCTGAGAAGGCGGAGCAGGCGGCCGAAACTGTTGGGTCTGTGTGGAACTACGCACAGTGGTGTTGTGTTGGTGGCTGAGGGGGGCCGCGGGAAGGCGCCTCGGAAGTTCCTGCGCTGAGGGGACCAGTGCGGCTCGGTGCGCAGAGGCAGCTGGCGAGGGTCTGGAGTCCCCCACATCCTGCCTGGTGAGTGCACGAAACCACCGAGCGCACTGGTGAGTGCGCGCCGCACCGAGCGGGCTGGGCGCCCCGCCTGCAGCAGCAGCACCTCCGCAGCGCAGGTGTCAGGTGTCACGAGAGCTCAGATTTGGGAAGTGTAGCGCTGTGTGTCCCTGACACGCAGGTACCACTCCCATAGAGTGAACTGCTCACTTCTCGCCTCCCACCCTGCAGTTCTGAGCGTGGGCGACCCACCAGGAGAGCCCTGAAAACTCCTGCATCACACTGACACGGTGAGAACCTGCCGTGAAGTCATTATAACAGGGCGCCTGGGTCACTCCTCCGCTAAGGGCCTGTGTGGGGGAGCCACACGGGAGCAGGGGCTCTGAACACCCACACACCACGAGTGGTGGATTCACTGCACAAGAGCCACGCCTGGAAAGTGCCTCACCCACAGTCCCGTGTGTGGGAGACGCACCAGGTGGGCTCTGAAAAACCCTGCAGTCCCTGACACGGAGAACGCAGGGAGAAAGCACATAAAACCTTCTACGCCCTGCGGATTCCCGTGAAGGGGGCACACCCAGAGAGCGCCTCCATCCCTCCACGCCCTGGGGTGTCACACCTGTAGAAGAGGTGCCCAGAGTGTGCCTGGAATCCACTGGGCCCCCAAGGTGGTGCTCTACAGCCCCGGGCCCTGAGAACGCACCAACGGTGCCTTGAAAATAACCACGCCCGGCAACACCACGCCTGCAGGCTCCAATCTCTACAGGAAAGCACCTGACAGCCCCTCAACACACGGGTCCATTTGCCTCACCAGAACACACCAACGCAATGGGAAAAACCACCAGAAAGAGTTGTGCTCCAGATGAAAGAGCCAGCACCCCACCAAACAAGGGCCAAAAGCCATTATCAATATCGACGATACGAGATGAAGACATGGAAGTGTTACCAGCAAAGGAATTGATGAAAATAATGCTAAAATTTCTCAGAGACGTGGACACAAAGCTGGAAGACTACCAGAACCGCATAATCACCGAAATACAACAAATCAAAACCAAACTGGACGCCCAAGATAATAAGATTGAAAGCCTCATCAACAGAATAAATGCGGCAGAGGAAAGGATCTCTGAAACAGAAGACACACAAAATGAAAGTGCCCAGCGAATCAAACAGCTGGAGACAAACCTCAGCAAAACTAATAAAATGATGCAAGAGATGAAGGATTACCTTAGAAAATTGAATATTCGGATCATCGGCCTCCCCGAGGGAGTAGAAAGAGAATCTGGGATGCAAGCAGTGCTCGATGAAATTATACAGGAAAACTTCCAAAACACTTGGAACACGAATCCACCCCGCATACAGGATGGACAGAGAACTCCCAACAGACATGATCCAAAGAGATCTTCACCCAGACACACGGTGCTCAAGTTCTACTCCAATGAAGACAAAGAAGGAATCCTGAGACAAGTACGAAGTAGAGAAAAGATCACATACAGGGGAAAACCCATCAGAATCACTGCTGACTTCTCCGAAGAGACCCTACAAGCAAGGAGAGAATGGACAAAGATCTTCCAAGTCCTGAAACAAAACAACTGTCAACCAAAAATAATCTACCCAGCAAAGATCTCATTTGTATATGAGAATGAAATCAGATACTTCAATAGCAAAGAAAAACTAGAAGAATATGTCTACACAAAACCAGCTCTGCAAAGTCTCCTTAGAAATGCGCTAGTCCCGGACAAAAAGGAGGCAAATCACAAACAAAGTTGGCAAATAAGAAGGTCTCCAAACTAAAGGCCGCACAAACAAGACAATTACATAGGCAACAACACACACACAACACAATCACATGGCAGGGCAAAATTGCAACCTCTCAATTTTAACTCTCAACACAAATGGTCTAAATTCACCAATCAAACGACAGAGATTAATAGAATGGATCATCAAACAAGACCCAACCATCTGTTGCCTACAAGAAACGCATCTAACCAGAAAGGATGCAAAGAAACTGAAAGTGAAGGGATGGAAAAAGATATTCCACGCCAATAGACGAGAAAAAAAAGCTGGGGTAGCTATCCTAATTTCAGACGAGATAGATTTCATTCTAACTAACATCAAAAGAGACAGGGAAGGCCATTTTATACTGGTGAAAGGAATGATCCATCAAGAAGCAATCACCATCATTAATGTTTATGCACCGAATCTTAATGCACCTACTTACGTAAAGCAATTACTTACAGACTTAAGGGAAGACATAGACACCCGCACAATTCTTGTAGGCGATCTCAACACACCTCTAACAACAATGGACCGGTCTACGAAACAAAAACTCAACAAAGAAACAACAGAGCTCACACAAACAATAGAACAACTGGACTTAGTAGACATATATAGAACTTTTTATCCTAAGGCCACAGACTATACATTCTTCTCAGCGGTGCATGGCACCTTCTCCAGAATCGACCACATGATAGGACATAAAGCGAATCTAAACAACTTCCAAAACATTAGTATCATACCATGTACCCTCTCAGACCACCATGGGATGAAACTGGTAATCAACAACTCAAAACTCCCCAGGAAGTATAGGCACTCTTGGAAATTGAACAATATGCTATTAAACGAACAATGGGTCAGAGAAGAAATTAAAGATGAGATCAAAAAATTCATGGAAACCAATGAAAACTCTGATACAACATTCCAAAACTTGTGGGACACCGCCAAAGCAGTGCTACGAGGTAGATTCATCGCAATCGGAGCGCATGTCAAGGCCCAAGAAAGACGCCAAATACAGGAACTAACCTCACACCTCCAGGATCTGGAAAAACAGCAGCAGAAGAGTCCCACGCACAATAGGAAACAAGAAATCATCAAAACAAGGGAGGAGATAAACCAAATAGAAATCAAAAAAACTATACATAAAATCAACAAATCAAAAAGTTGGTTTTTTGAGAAAATAAACAAAATAGACACTCCACTGGCCCGATTGACCAAAAAAAAACAAGAGAAAGTGAGAATCAACAGCATTAAAGATGAAAAAGGCAACATAACAACAGACACTGCAATCATTAAGAAAATAATTAGAAATTACTACAAAGAACTGTACTCCCACAAATTTGAGGACCACCAAGAAATAGAAAAGTTCTTGGACTCCCACCATTTACCAAAACTCAGTCCGGAGGCAACTGCAGAATTAAATAAACCCATAACCGAGGTAGAGATTGAAACAGTCATCAAGGATCTCCCAACGAAAAAAAGCCCAGGCCCAGACGGCTTCACTACAGAATTCTACAAAACATTCCGAACAGAACTAACCCCAATCCTCTACAAGCTCTTCAAAACAATAGAGGAGGAAGCAACCCTCCCAAACTCATTCTATGAAGCCAACATCACCTTAATCCCAAAACCGGATAGAGAACCATCAGAGAAGGAAAACTACAGACCTATTTCTCTGATGAACATTGATGCTAAAATTCTCAACAAAATCCTAGCCAATAGAATTCAAAAAATCATCAGACAGATCATTCATCCGGATCAAGTAGGATTCATCCCTGGAATGCAGGGATGGTTCAACATTCGGAAATCCATAAATGTTATAAACCATATCCAAAAACTGCAAAACAAGAACCACATAATAGTTTCAATAGATGCAGAAAAAGCTTTCGACAAAATCCAACACCTCTTCATGCTAAAAACTCTAGCCAAAGTAGGCATAGATGGGAAAATCCACAACATAATTAAAGCAATTTATGAAAAACCCAACGCCAGTATCATACTGAATGGAGAAAAGCTAGAACCCTTCCCACTGAGATCTGGAACAAGACAAGGGTGCCCACTATCACCACTGCTATTCAACATAGTCCTAGAGGTACTTGCAGAGGCCATAAGACAAGAAAAAGAAATCAAAGGCATACGTATAGGAAACGAAGAAGTCAAGCTTTCACTATATGCAGATGACATAATCCTATACATAGAAAAACCAGGAGACTCAATACAGAAACTGCTAGAACTTATACGAGAGTTTGGCAGAGTGGCGGGGTACAAAATTAACGAACGAAAATCAACAGCCATAGTGTACGCAAATAACACCAAGATGGAAGAAGATCTAACCAACAGGATACCATTCAAAATAGCAGAGAGAAGTATGAAGTATTTGGGAATAAATCTAACCAAAAGTGTAGGAGACCTATTCGAAGAAAACTACAAACTATTTAAAAAGGAAATTGAACAAAACCTCAAAAGATGGAATAACATCCCGTGCTCCTGGATAGGCAAAATCAATATCATTAAAATGTCTATACTACCACAAGCAATATACATTTTCAACGCAATTCCAATCAAATTGCCCAAAACATTCTTCACGGAACTGGATACAATGATTCAACAGTTCATCTGGAAACACAAAAAACCACGAATAGCTAGAACCATCCTGAAAAATAAGAAATTAGCAGGGGGAATCACAATCCCGGACCTCTGGACATACTATAGAGCAGTGGTAATCAAAACAGCCTGGTACTGGCACAAAGACAGAAAGGAAGATCAATGGAATAGAATAGAAGCACCAAAAGGGAATCCACACAGATACAGCCAATTAATCTTTGACAAAAAGACTAATGACAGCTTAAGCAAGTGGGAAGGACTCTTTAGTAAATGTTGTTGGGACAACTGGCTGATAGCCTGTAGAAACAAAAAGATAGACCCACATCTATCACCATACACTAAGATCCAATCTACATGGATAAAAGACCTAAACCTACATCCAGAAACCTTCAAACTCTTGCAAGAAAATGTAGGAAATACCCTGCAAGACCTAGGAGTAGGTACCGACTTTCTAAGAAGGACACCAAAAGCAATAGCAGTTGAGAACAGAATAAACAAATGGGACCTCATCAAACTAAGAAGCTTCTGTACAGCAAGGGAAACAATCAACAAAGTAAAAAAGCAACCCACAGAGTGGGAGAAGATCTTTGCACACGATATAGGCGATAGGGGGCTAATTTCCAGGATATACAAAGAACTTCAAAACAACCAAAAAACCAAAACGAACAAGCCACTCAAGAAATGGGCACGGGAAATGGGCAAACATTTCACAAAGGAACAAGTCCAAATGGCAAACAAACATATGAAAAAATGTTCCAGCTCCCTAGCAATAAGGGAAATCCAAATTAAAACATCGATGAGGTACCACCTAACACCAGTAAGATTGGCCCACATAAACAAGAACACCAACGACGCTTGCTGGCGAGGATGCGGGGAAAAGGGAACCCTACTCCACTGCTGGTGGAGCTGCAAATTGGTACAGCCTTTATGGAAATCAGTCTGGAGAACACTCAAACAACTCAAAATCAGCATACCATATGACCCAGCAATAGCACTCCTAGGAATATATCCAAAACACCTGTTTTACGACAAACCAACATGCATCCCTATGTTCATTGCAGCACAATCAGTAATTGCGAAAACATGGAAGCAACCGAAATGCCCATCAGCAGAAGATTGGATAAGAAAGCTTTGGTTCATCTACTCCATGGAATACTACTCAGCTATTAAAAAAAACAAAATGCAGTTCTTTGTGGCTAAATGGGCACAACTGGAAACTATAATGCTAAGGGAAATGAGCGAATCCCAAAAGATTAGATACCACATGTTTGCCTTGATTTAACCTGTAATTTTTTGTTTGGTGGTTTGTTATTTTTTGAACCTGTCATTGATACTGTCTCAACCCAGATGTTTCGAAGAATGGAACTTGCATTATTTTTAACATATTGTTTACCCAATACTATGTCAATTAATTCCATAATGTTGTATAATGATACTGAGGCCTTGTTGGGGCTTTTAACTGACTGGATCTTTACTCTGTTAGACCTATCTTCAGACCATAGAAGGTCTCCCCAAGAGGCCACTGAACTTATCTGGACAATAAGACGCTGAACTTTATGCTA